TTCTTCTCGCCTGTCCGGCTGACTTGGAAAAATACGGCAGGCCTAGCCGGAGTGGCGCGCGAAAGGGGCGTTGGGATGCGTTCCTCCTTCATCGTGTTTTAGCAGGGTGCCCGGGAAAGGGGAATGTGGTGATGTTAGTCACAGTGCAAATGGGTGGTTTTCTTAGCTGCGTTACCTATAGCTTCCTAACCGAGTTAACAGGGTGTTTAATTTTCCACGTTTGAGAAAAACGGACTTCAACTGTGTATTCTGTTTTCTGAACGTCTGCGATGTTCAGGTAACGTTATGTGCAGCTTCCGCTGCTACTTCTGTAAAGTTGTGAGGTAGCTAACAGAAAACAGGCCTACTTCTGATTCTGTGATACTTTTTGAAAATGCTCGGGTTTGTTCACCTTGACTGTTGGGCTAAATGTTACTTGGTAGTAGTGTCTTAAATCCATGAAAAAGTTTGTGTAAAGTTTTACACTGGTAGTTGGCAGTTTCTTATTATTAGAGATGGTGATTGTAAGAAACAAAGGGTGTTGGGCACAGCTTCTTATGTAGGTGTTTAGGTGAGTTAGCCGGGGTGATGCTTTCCTGAATCTGCTTCTCATAAACAGGGAAGTCAAGTTAGGAATCTCTTGAGAAATCTCAACCCATACAAGTCCATAGTACCCACTTGGGCTACATCTGGAGAGGGCTGAGAGAACTGTCTGATGGTTACTCTCTTACCATCTTTGAGAGGTTGTGGAGGTCAGCTACAGCTTAGTCAGCTTCACTTCAGTCCCTTGGGAAACCATGAAGCGAGTTCTCTTGGAAGCTATTTTTAGGCACTTGAAAGAGAAGGTGATTTGGAATAGCCAACATGACTATACTTGTAAACTGGTTGCCATTGGTGATGAAATGACTAGATCAGTAGATCCAAAGCCGTGGATGTCATCTATATTAGTTTTAGCAGGACTTTTGAAACAGTCTTCTGCAGCATCCTCCTCTTTGAGTTGGGATGTTACAGATTGTAAACTACTAGAAGAGTCAAAAAAAAAAACCTTGTCTGGATTGTCAGCCTCAAAGAGGAGTGTTTAGTGGTTCATACTTTACCCAAAAGTGGATTACAAGTGGAGTTCCTTAGAGTTTGTCCTGAGACCTGTCCTGTTGATAGGAGGAGGATGTGAGATGCACCTGCATGATGTTATGAGTGGAGAAGGTGCCATAGACAGCTAGGAGTAGGCTGGAGGAATGGGTCATCAGACACCTCAAACTTCAGCCAAGGAAGATGAAAATTCGAGAGTGAGGTCCTGCACCTGGGCCTGTGTGCTGCAGTGGTTCAGGCTGGGGAGCTACTCTGCTGAAAGTCCCTGGGGGTCCTGAGGGACAGTGGGCTAAATGTGCGCCACCACTGCACCCCGGCATTGAGGCATATGAGGCTGTATTAGCAGGAGCGTAGCCAGCAACTCGAGGGAAGTGATTTTTCTTCTCTATTTGGCGTATATTAGGCTACTCCTGGAATGCTGTGTCCCATTTTAGGCCCACCAGTACAGGAGGCTGTTGATAAACTGCTGAGGGAGCTTGTTAAGGGACAGCAGTCCTTCCGTGCTTGCAAGGAAGTTACCAAGCAGCTGGTGCCAGAGACTTCACAGCCGTGCATGATAGGAGTCTGAAAGGAAATAGCCATGAGTTGAAACAAAAGAAGCAAGAGAGGTTGCAATGTGATGTAAAGTGAGACTTTTAAGCTGTGAGGACAGGCAAACAGGTGGAATGGGATGGCCAGAGAAGTATAGCCTCCATCCCTTGAAATTTTCAAGACCCACTTGGATAATGCCTCGAGTAAGCTGCTTTGAGCTAATGACTGCTCCTGTTTGGAGTTGGAGGTTGAGTCCTCCTCAGGTCTCTTCCAACTGGAATGAGACTGAATTTGAAAATACTGCTTTTGTTTAATTGGGGTGAGGAGCGGAATGAAGTATCTACTTGGGCTCATCATGTCAGTTTCTTGACCAGAGCAGACTCTGCTGCCAGTCTGGAAGTCTACAAAATAATTATAATGCCGTATAACGGCAGTGTATCTTCTGTATGCAAGCTGCTGCATGGAATAGCTGAAGCTTGTATTTGCAGGGTTTATACAGGTATCTGTTTGTGTTGTGACCATTGCCTGAGCATTAGGGAGTTCTGTGGTGTTTCCTGCTTTCCAAGACAGAAGGAGATGTGCTGAGGTTAAGGGCTGAAAATTCTGACAGGAATTGGTGAGCACGTATCCCTTCTATCCAGTGACACTCCTTCACCGTGATATTTGTTGAGTTGTCAGCACTCTGATGGCTGTAGCATCTAGAGTTGATTTGCAGATTTCTTCTGGAGAAGCTTCCTGTGTAGATACCATTTGATGTCAGTTACATTTTGTTTGTTTGTTTGTTTTTTCCCCAGCCACCCATGATCAACCTGAATATGGATGATTACCTACAGTTTGTGAGAAGTAAGATGCAGAGTTCCATGCATGACGGTTTTTCTTGAAGTTTTTCGTGCTTTTTTACAATGCAGAGTACATGCTGTAAACAAATGAGAAATTGTTATTTATTTAATATAGGCAGAACAGGAGGAATGATGCACACTAAACGAAATAACAGATATGATGCAACACATTCTTTGTAGTTTTTCCTCTTTAAATCTGCTGCAAGTGTACCTTCCCACTGCTATAAAGAAAGTAACTTACGGGAAAAGTGAGAGAAAGCTGAAACATCATGTTGGCAAACATTGGTTTTCAGCTGGTATTAACAGATATAAATACAAGGTTGAGTGCATTTGCATTGTGTTTTTGTTTTTCCTCAACAGCTGAATAGTGTCACACATCTCACAGTAACACAGTCCAAAACGGAATTGTTGAACCTGTCACTTCATGTTAAAGAGTGTACAGTCTTGCAGCCATGGAATGGCAGTGATACACTATGAGTAGAAGTGCATGTCTCATTCATCCTGGGAAAAATACTGAAGTTTGAAGTAGAGTATTTCGTAGGGAAGTTTCCTTCCACACGCACCCATATGCACGAACGCACACGCACACACATTTGCTGGAAGCATTAGACTGGAATATTACTCAGTTACACAGTTTGATCAGATGCAAAACCCCAGGTTTGCTTTGCAGGAGAAAAGACAAGTAACGGCAGTGATAGGGCAAGGGGCAATGGCTTTAAATTGAAAGAGGGCAGATTTAGGTTAGATATAGGGAAGAAATTTTTCACTCAGAGGGTAGTGAGGCACTGGAACAGGTTGCCCAGAGAAGCTGTGGCTGCCCCATTCCTGGAAGTGTTCAAGGCCAGGTTGGATAAGGCTTTGAGCAACCTGGTGTAGTGGGGGGTTTCCCTGCCCATGGCAGGGGGGTTGCAACTAGATGATCTTTGAGGTCTGTTCCAGACCTAACCATTCTATGATTCTATAATTTCAGTCTTTCATTGACTCTAGCCTGAGTGTACTTGTATCATGTCTTTTTTTTGTGCTTTAAAAGTATGTACCTTTTATGCATAAATAAATAACAATCTAAAGTTAAATAAGCTGTTCATCAGTAACTTTTCTGCTGTTTCTGCAAATGTGCTGGTTATGGATACACATAGCACAGTGATCTCTCTTAAACTTGTGGTGTCCTGGTGTCTGTAGGTGTTTGTCGCATTAGTAAATTAAACAGTGGCATCACCAATTTTTTTGCCCTCAGACCAAATAGTACAGCCAGAGTTTGTCCATCTATTAAGTCCTCAGATTGTAGAACAGATTGGTCGCATCCAGGCTGAAACAGTCCCTGAAACCAGGGTAACTCATGAACTGTGTCTGAATGTTATCTGAGAGGCCTACAGGTTAATATGAGCCAAAAGTTTGTTACAAAACATTTTAACAGTGTCGTGGAGCAAATCATAGAGCTGCAGTTGTACAAAACATTTTAACAGTGTCGTGGAGCAGATCATAGAGCTGCAGTTCTTTGGCAGTGCCCTGACACTGTCCGTAGTTAACTGAAGATTTCAGTGGTATTCATTCAGCACTCTGAGCGTGTGTCCTACAGAACACAGAGCTACAGAACTATTGATATCCATACTAGCAGTCTGAAGTCATGAACATTGAAGGCATGAGGATCCATGCTTGCTATTAAGATACGATCATTGCAAACAAATGATGGTATATATAGTTAATAGGCTTTATATGACGCCATTGCAATGTCAGCATTAATAATGATAGTGTTTTTAGACTGTTATCTTCATTGCTACTTACTCATTGCTGTTGTTTTTTTAAGGAAGACTTCCTACTCATGTAGTAGTTTACCCTAAATATTCTGTCAAAACTTTATAGGAACTCAGAAAGTCAGAAGGCCTCGGTGTGATGCATCCTTGGTTTATTTGACCCAAAAATTCATGGATCTTGTCAGAACAGCTCCAGATGGTGTCCTTGATTTAAATGAAGTAGCAGCAATGCTTGGAGTACGAAAACGGAGAGTGTATGACATCACCAATGTGTTGGATGGAATTCACTTAGTTCGGAAAAGATCTAAGAATCTTATCCAGTGGATGTGAGTTGGCTTTGAAACTTCTGACTTATTATACAATAAAACCCAACAATGTTGAGTAATGTTTATAACTTCAAGAGTCTTTTTAAGCATATTGAATTAGTTGTAATAGAGAAAAATATTTTAAGTTCTTCTGTATCCTTAGACTGTCTGAATTACTTACTATATTAACACGTGTCAAGTGCAAAAGCACAATGAAGCATATTTCAGCAGAGTAAAGGATGCCAGAGTTCCTTGTTGATTCCTATTAGTATATTTTGTGTTCAATAAACATGGTCTTTTATATACAAACACACCAGACAACTTTCCTATTCTTCTAGAGGTTCTAGTCTTGACCAAGTCATTGGAAAAGCACCGGAGCAGCTTAAAGATGAACTTTCTGACTTGTCGGCCATGGAAGAAGCTCTGGATGAATTAATCAAGGATTGCGCTCATGAGTTGTTTGATCTAACAGATGACAAAGAAAATGCAAAATATCCTTTTAATTCTGGCATTACTTTAATGTGGATTTGATTGCAAGTACGCAGGTATCTAGTAACAGGTGTAGGCTGATACCATGGGTATGCAGTAATACTTGATAATGAGTTTTATAATAGGAAACTTACTGGTGATTTTATGTTAGTATATACTAGTCATGTGCCCTGCTTAGCAGTGTCCAGCTACTTGTGTGACCTTTCCACTGCAGAAGAATGGAAGTGGGACAATAGACTTAGTACCCTGACATCGTCTTATTCTCTCCATTATAGAGTCACGTTGTCTCAGGGGCAGGTCTTGACCTACCAGTGAGATTGAGTTGCTTAGTGAGATGAGAAAGAGGACCCAAACACAGTGGCCTGTTGCCAAGAAGATACAATGGTATGTTGGTTGTGTCCTAGTACTGCTTTCTCTCTTGGGAGAGGTTCCAATGCAGTCTTACCTTTCAGATACGTTTGGATAACAGAAAAGGGATTACTTTTAATATGACATAAACATTGGAGTTGGGCTTTGGGTTACAATAAAATATTCCTTAGCTCCCTTGTCTGGCAGGATGTTAAAGTCTGCACTCAAATGAAATGGGGCCCATTTTCTATATGACATCAGGAAAACTTTTCATTACACCTTACCTGATCTGGTTAAGAAAATAATTCCATAGTTTTCCAGGGAATTATTTACGTGCATAGTTATTATAAAACAAGAAGTAGTTTCTCAAGGGCAACATTCCCTCTGCTTTGTAGACTTATGACAGCATCTATGAAAACCATTTGTCAAATGTATTTGTTTTTTTAATACTATCTCGATTTTTTTTTAAAAGCTTTTTCCTTCCTAGAAATAAAGAAAAAAAGATTTTCCGTTTCTTAGCTAATACTTAATTTTACAAAGCTAGTATTAAAATAACCTCAGCTGAACTGTTTACCACTTCTCTTAAATTGGTATTCTGCTTCAACGTATCTTAGTATCATCCTCTTTGCTTCTGCCAATTAGCAAATTACTTTAGAGAATCCTTGACCAATGTATACACTAGCTTATGTGACTTATCAAGATATCCGTAGCATTCAGGCATTTCAAGGACAGATTGTGATTGCAATCAAAGCTCCAGAGGAAACCAAATTGGAAATACCAGTTCCTAAAGAAGTAAGTTTTACACATTTCTGTTTTAAGAGAATAAAAATTTCTCACGTTTGAGTTTTGCGGCAGCAATCAGTAATTGACTTTCAGTTTCTTTGCCATGTATAGCAAACATTGGTACTTTATTGCTATTGTGTTCCACTGAACAATGCTGTAGAGATAATAGTTTAAGAAACTTATTTTCAGTATTTTTCCTGTTTACCTAAACTATTAAACAATAAACATGTCTGAGCTTTAGTTACTTGGTTTTGCTAAAGAGAATGTTACTTATTTCCACTATCAGTTTTCTTGGTAATTACTAGGATAATGAAACTTCCAGAGCTGTTATTTTTCGTATACTAAAATCTGCAAAAACTGCAAATCTAACCAAGCGAAGTGATAAGCATGATTTGATAATGATCTTAACAGCATGTAAATCCTGTCTTACTGCTTGATGAGTAGACAACTATTGTTACTATAATATTAAGGTACGAAATGCACAGTATGTTTGACAAAACAAAACATTTTGGCACTCCAGTAGATCGTGTCAAGATGGATGTGTCATGGAGGTCGGGGGCTGTGCCCTGTCCTCACCTCATGGTACCACACGCATCCACACCTTCAGGTCATGCAGAAGAGCCGTAGCTTTGCCCTTGGCACCTGCGCTTGGGCCTGTATGCTGGAACAGACTGTTTAAAGTAGTGCTGTGAAAGAGAGGAAACACTGGAAGTGAGCTTAAGATAACAAATGAGCTTCAATTCTGTTTTTCTTTTGTGTGTGTGCTTTTTATAATATTCTTAATTGTGTAGTCATCAAATTTGCCTTACTGTGTGCACATAAAGGGAGGTGGTATGGTAGAAAAAGGAGATACGAATCCATAGAACCAGAAGACCTGATCCACTGCATAGATCTCCAGTGGCTTCACTGGTAAAAGGAGCTGGCTCTCATCCTGTGGAGAAGAAAAAGATAAAACTTCAGAGGTTTCCTAAAGCCAAAGGCGGCAGGATTTTAGAAGTTGTATTTTAGAGAGAACAGAATCTTCTCTCTGTTGTCCATTAAATTTGATTTGCTCTGTGCCTTGCAATGTGATGTCTGCTGAAGGAGAGCAGTAAAAGTAATATGATTCAGTTGCTTTGCCATGTTATTAAAGCTTCTGTGTGCTCTGATGTTTTCTGATACATGGCATTGACTGGTCAAGTTTTAAATTTTGTTACTCTTCCTAAATGAATAATAAATCTTGGTCATATACCTACAGGCCAGTAGAATGACTAAACAAAAATTCATTAAGTGCATATTCATTAAAAATGAAACCTTGTTAGCTTAATGGTGCTTAATAACAGGCCTATAGATCTATGTAATAGTCATAATTTATGTAGAACTAGTAACACAATTTTAAATAGTGATGTCATTCCTGTATCTGTTCTGTTCTTAACCTATTGGCTTTAAGATATGTGCAAAAATAGAGAACTGATGTGTAAGATACGTTCTTTGGTTTACATGCAATTGCTGTTTTATAGGATTGCATAGAAATACACGTGAAGAGCACAAAAGGACCCGTCGATGTGTATCTATGTGAGGTGGAACAAGAGAAGCCAGGTGCCAAAACTTTTGAAGATATGGATACTGTTGCGTCTCAAACTGAGCCATCAGTTCCTCCTGAAGAAGGTAGTGTCTTCCATTTTTTAATTCAGATAAAGTTGAAAACAGAACTGTACAAGTACAGTTTTCTGGGCATCGTTTGTGGGCCAAGATGTGTGGGAGTATAGGAAACGCCTGGAAGAGAAGTCAGTGCTGTTGTGCTGCCTCACAGCAGCAGGAGGTCAGAGAGTCAGGCACGTGCACACATAGCAAGGCACTTTTGTTCCCTCACCCTTCCCTTCCTTTGCTCGTTACTGGTTTCCTGTCGGAGCTGCACTCTGCGGATGGAACAACGTGTGTCAGTTCTCAGCTGCCGCACTGCAGAGTCCAGCAGCTCAGCCGAAATAGTTGTCGTGAGAGTTAAGATGCTGTTTCAAGCAAGAGAGTGTGCTGCTCTTGCTCATCACTGGCCTGCCTAAGGGAGGGCAGACAGAAGAGGGGAGATAGTATTTTCATCCTCTAAAACAAGGTTGACTGGAATATAGTCACTCAAGAGCCCCAGTGCTGCAGGATGTTGTGGTTCAAAAATAAACGTGGTGGGAATCACAGTAGCTCAGAATACAAAAGATAAATCATTTTTCGCAGAGCTGCTTTATGGTTGAGAGGAACAGTTGACTTTTTAATCTTAGACTTTTTTTTTTTTTACTTTATTTTGCTAGTGAAATGATTCAGAATTCTATTTCCTACAATGACAGTAATTGTATTCCTTTTTTTGCTTTCCTTTCAAGTGAGGTCTCCAGAGGAAGAAAGAAGCCAAACCACCTGAGATGACAGATTAATTACAACTCAAAAATCTAATACAGAATGTAAATATCTGTGTTATAGAGCTTTTCCAAAGCTGCTTGGATCTGCAAACTTATTAACCTGAAATGTTCCAGTGTTTTAAATTTAAAGCAGCAGTGGGTTGGTTGAGTGCTTTCACAGGGTTGCTTATCTTCCCAAGTCAAAGGACAACAGTTCCTGGAGTTGCTTTTAGGAGCTTTGTTTTCATAATTGCATGTGATCTACAGAGCTTTGGGAAAATGGTATTTTTAGCTTATGAAATAATTTTAATTGACAGAAAACATAGGCAATGAATTACTTCTAAAAACAAAGTTTTTAAAACTATTTCTGGAACAATCCACAACCCTTACGAGAATGTATATAATAATTAAATGCACTTTTCAGTTCTGAGGCTGCACTACCATTAAGCGAGATTGTCAAATAAGAGTGTAACAAAGAACCAACGTTTCAGAAGCCTTCACTATAAGGAACAAGATGTAAATATGAGAATTATGCCTTACACTGTGTAGATGCTGTTTGCATTGTTTGCATCCAGCTCTTCATGAACTATGGTGTCAACACTGAAGCTAAATAATTGGGCTTTTTGTATATATCTGTATCATGTCTAGGTAGTTACTGATGTAGATTTATTGAGGTGGTTTGCGTTTCTGCCTTTGTACAGCAAAGAAATAAAATAAGCTTATAAAAATATTAAATAGCCTCATCGGTCAGTCTGAGACATATTGGGTCATCCATGTTGGAATTCACTGGGTAGCCACAAACATTAAAATGAATGTGAAAATTTTAAACCTATTATACGTGATGCAGGCAGCTGGCAGCTAGATCTGATTGTTGTGATGCCACAATACTGTAGCAATTTTCAGAAGAAACATTATGATGAATAATAACTACTTAAATTGGTCCCTTCCAGTTTCCAGAGTTTACATACACCATAGCTTTAGCCTAGTGCCATGATCTCTTTATGGTTTTAGCTTTCAAAAATATGTAAAATACTTTAGAACTACATCTGAATTCATCCTTCTTCAGCATCTGTAAAATGAAGCCTCAGAATTTTGATACTGTGTTTCTGAGTGAATTAACTGGCTCTGTACAAACGCCATACTTAGGCTCGTTTCACTCCAGTACTGAAAAGTGTGCTGTGTAGTTTTCTGTGTGGGGAGAGGTTGGTTGGTTGTTTTTAAATCAAAACTCCCAAGTCCTTGTTCTCAGTCACACAGTATCAACAACTGTCCATCTACTCACCAGTGAGAACAACAAAGCTGGTAAAACCCCTGACTGTCTTAACCAGCAACTCTACAGCTATTTTAGACAGGCGCTGTGAAATTAAACGCCGTATAGACATCAATAAGGTAGGGCAGTTGACGCTGAAGAGCTTAAGTACACCTAAACTCAGGTTGAGAGTTAATCCAGTTTTCTGCAAGGTCTGCTAGCCCTACAAAATGTACAGTGCTCTACTACGCAAATTGAGAAATACACCAAGTGCAAGCTTGTATCAGAAAGTAATCTTGCCTTCTTGTGTACAGGCTATGAACTTCCAGCTCCAGAATATAGGACTTCAGTGTTGGATACTATGTTTCTGCATCTATAAAATGCAAACTACAGGCTCAGGTGTTATGATAATAAACAAAAGCAAATTCAAAGCATGTTGCATATGTAACTAACAGTAAAAATGGCGAAGGTCTTCCTCCAATGAAGCTGAGGGCAGAGGTTAAAATTAAGAAATCATTCTTTTGCACAGAAAGGTTGTCCTTTTCCTTCAGTGGCTGGCTTCTTTCCAGATGGCAAACTTGCTATTTGATTTTTTTTGACATTGCTCTTCTGTTTGGGTGGGAAGAGAGGTCTGTACCGAAGACAAATATCAATCGCCCTAGGCTGGTACAACAACTTGGGATAACAGTTGCTGTGAAAGTGGAAAAATTTCTAGCACCAACAGCTAATCCTGAATGCTGGGTGTTAGGGTGGGATTTTGCTAGGTGATGATACAGTGTTTTGAACAGTGGAGTAAGGCAGTATGCTTTACAAAATAGCCATCTTACAAATGTTAAGAAGTCTGTCTTCAAAAGAAGAACATACTGTATTTATTGGAAAGATTAGCATTTAGCGTTTTTAATTTTGAACAAATCTAGTGATTCTGTTTTTCCTCCTTCCTTTGTGTGGGTTTTCTAGCTATAGAATTCGTTTTTAACTTCAAGCTACACAATTGTCACAGTGAAATGGGAGAAGCTATAATATGACAGCTGTACTATAATTATATTTTTTAATACATTTACTATGTTAATAGTGCACCTTTAGTGGAACAAATGGACTTTTGAAGATTAAACCACTTTGTCATATTACTTGTATCCAGTTGTGATGCTGGAAAAGAATGCAGTGTATAAGCTCCATAAACTAGCTCGCTGAAGATTAGGCTTAGACTTGAGGAAAAGTTCCTGAGTGATGCTGAAATTAAATACAAGTCACTTACTCACTTAAAGAGTAAATGTGATAGGACCTTACTCTGAATTTGTATAATAATGCTGGATTTTTTTCTGAAAGGTTATTAAGACTAAAGTATTTTCGTTGGGTCTATATCCGTTTTCAGCATATTTGTACATGTAAGGACTTCCCTCAGCTATATGAGGACTCTGCCTGTGATAAATGTAAAAGCTCTAATAACGTTGTTGTCTTTCCTTCGGTAAAAACAGCTGAGCATCTAAATGCATTAATCAGCCATAGCAACAGCCAGGAGCCATAATTATAAAATGGCCTGGTTTTGTTGACTCCATAACTGGAACAAACACCACAAGTTGCCAGTTCAGCCCATACTTAGTATGGGAAATTACTTGTCAGTTTTCAGATGTGAATGGCAGTTTTTAAATAACGTGATTTGTAAAGAAGAGAGAAGATTGCTTTAAATTATTATCTTTTGGAAAGCACTTAAAAGACGCCAGATTCCTTCATTTTGAAGTCTTTTTGTTGTGTGTGAAGGGCTTCATTTATAAGCATAATTAAATAACACTGATTTCCAAAGTCACTTTAGCTCTTGTAATTTTCAGCGGTGAAGTTAGCCTCCTTTGCCAGGCCATCGGCTCGTCCCGAGCAGCTGGAGCTGACTGCAAGCTTTAAACCCTCGGGTATTCCAGGATCTCAGTGTATAGGCTGGCTCTGGCACCGTGCTGGGACTTAAGTAACTCTTGAAGTGTTCATCCAGAGCAGTGATCTGCTATTTTTGGTTCCACTTCTGATCTGCCAGCAGTAATTTGTGAGAAGCGTGTAGAGGCTACAGTCACATAAATTATACTTGGTTGTGTACAATTTATATAAATCTATACGAGGCTTCTCACATGGATATTTACTGAAGGATTGGGATACTTGTTTGTGAAAAAACATAGTATATGTTTGGAAGGAAATTTTAATGATGTTTGGAAAGAAAAAGAAGCCTGGTTCTCTCCACGAATCTCATACCTGGTTCCTTCCCTGCCTTTCATCCTGCTGCAGCCTGATGGTGGTGGGCTACCTAAGGGCCTGTAGCTGTGCTGCCAGGGCACCTGCCGCGTATACGTGGGCTTACTGTGGCTTCTCATGTCGTGATCCATGAATCCATGTTTGTAATCGCCCCTGGATTAAGTCATGGGGCTACAGGAGAAGATCCTAATCCTAGAAGTTATAACAGCAAATTCAAAAGATACAAGCTTAGGACATCATTCGACTTTTGTTGGCTTCTATTAGGCCTCTAACTTTTCATGGCATCCTTCTTCAAAAGGAAAACTTAGCATTAGTGCTTCAAATGAAAACTTCAGGAACCTAAAAATCTGCAACAAGCTATTCAAGTTACTGGAACAGTTGTGCTTTCAGTCTTTTGTAGATTCTAATGCAAATCCTGCACAGATCTGCTTTTAGATAATGCAATATTCTTTTCCAGACACACAGCAATTTTTCCCATCTGTAACCATAAAAATGCCACAAGCACACTATGGCAGTACTTGTTGCTTCTCTAACATGTAGTCAAAGTGCACATCCTGAAAAATGAAACAAAAATTGATAAAATTTTGCTTGCAAAGTCTCAGATCAGGTATCAAGTTTCAGCAAGGGAAAGGGAAAGCTCAGAAAGGGAAAACCTGTTTTTAGATATGTTTTAATTACAAGGCACACTAATTCTTTAGAGGCTTGCTGGCTCCTAAATCTAGGATAACATTTGTGTGCACAAACTGTGACCTCAATATTAAAAGAGTTCATTTCCAAATGTGAAAATAAAAGTTATCTGTCAGAAGAAAAGTTCAAAGTCCAGTAAAAACATTTCAGAATTTTATTTGGATAATTAAGTTTTAAAGGGGATTGTAAATAAGAGCTGGGCCCAGACCTTTAAGCGCAAGTTAAGAAGCAAGTACCTGCAAACTTGAAAAGTAAACCAAGGTCAATAGGCCCCATGTTTATTACACCAATCATTAACAGTGAAGGTTGAAGCTAGATACAGACTTCTCTAAAGATCGAGATTCCTGGCTGAGATCTAGCATGACCAAAATATTTGTGAGACAACTGGGATTCAAACAGAATTCTGGATCTGGAAACCTCAGCCAAGGGAGAATTTCCCTCATTAGTTGCTGTGGTAGCTCTTTGTAGGCAGTTACCTACTCTATTTTCTTCACAAGCACACAAAAAGAAGTTCTTGAACATGGGGACCTGTTTGAAACATATCCTACTAAATATTGCAAGTGGTAAAACTTTAGCATGTCGTCTGGAATGAGGAATGGCATTAGTGCGGTTTTGAAAAGGACACACAGTCAGTATCTCTAACACTTCTCTAATCCATCCTTCTGCAAACTGTGATGAGACTGTCTTCTGATGTTCCCATCTTCTAGGTTGTACTCTGCCTGTGCTCTTGTTCAGAAGTGTCCAGAAAATAAACCATATGCAGAATGAACGAAGGAATGAACTCCCGTTTTCCCCTAGTGAAACTCATGAACATTCAGACCATTTCTTCCTGACCACACAGCAGCTATGAAA